GACCTGGTAGGACTTATGTCGCCTTCCACTGGGGGCAAATGCATAATGATCGTGGTAACCGACTACTTCACCAAATAGGTAGAAGCAAAGCCCAGGACGACTATGACTCAAACGAACATAGAGCACTTCATATGGAGGAACATCATTTGCTGATTTAGCATCCCACAGTCCATCGTCACTGACAACGGCCCACAATTCGTGGGCAAAGGTATGGCAAAGTTCTTCCAAATGTATGGCATCAAGTAGCATATATCCACGCTGAGATATCCTCAAGCCAATAGGCTGGCCGAAGCATCCAACAAGATGGTCCTCGAATGCCTTAAGAAATCCCTTACCAACAAGAAGGGAAAATGGCTAGATGAACTCCCCTAATGTCTATGGGTATAACGCATCACCAAAAGACGAGCAACCAGTGAGATTCATTTCTCTTTGGCATTTGGCTCAGAAGCAATCGGTCATCCCAATGTCATCAAGTCAAGTATCATTGCTCTACTACCAAGCATTGAGTAGAACAGTGAAGAGATGACCATAAGCTTAGATCTGGCAGAGGAGAAGCGCGAGCAGACCATCACCCACATCACAGCCTACCAGTAACAGCTTCTCTTCAGCTACAATAAAAGGGCTAAGATTCGGCAATTCCAACCCGAAGATCTAGTCCTAAGAAAAGCCTTCATCATTACCCATAGGAAGGTCTGTACAAAATCAGCAGAGTAGGCGGCAAGAGTAATTACACCCTCGCCACCATGAAATGACCAAAATATTGAAAAGTAGTGGAGAGCCTACAATCTGAGGAAGTACCATGTGTGACCTCTCACTACAACAAAACTCAAAGACTCAAACAGCTCGACGGGGACCACCTCACAAGCCGAGTACTATCCAATTGTTATGCAATTCCTACCTTACAGCTAAATTCTCGTTTGTTTCACTCATTTTTCAATGAGGAATTCACAAGTAATCACAATTTGGCTCAGCTGCATGCTTACAACAACTGGTCACTCCTGCACTTCAAAAGAAGATTGCGCCTTTCTTAAGGGCTCATCACAGGAATTGCGCCACCCGAGGGACCAACCATGCTCTCCAGTGCCAGAGGATAAACCAATGTCCTGACACCTATATAGGTCAGCTCTCCAAGACGGGAGGATAAACTTTACACTCCGAATATCCAGGCTCATCCACGTCTAGATATACGAAGCTTAAACAAGCTAGCATGCATATACGAAGCTTTATCCACTGTCGACATGTTACATAGTCGATAAGCTTCACCTCTGCCAAGCACATAATAACTTACAGCAAGTCCGAAAGTGTTGTGACACTTGCTACGCAACCTACAGAATTAGAGAAAGCTAAGGTTAACAGCCTAATGGTTACGTGGATTTGTCTGCTTCTGTAAGTAAGGCATCTGGTTGCTAACCCTATGGCTAACAACTTTGCAAAATTCTATACCAACAACTACGATTGCATAAACTACGCATGCCTGTCTACTTATAGAAAAGTAACACGTCTGCCACAGGTCTATAAAGTCCAAAGGTTAGGGTATGAACAAAAGAAGCGAAGATAAAGAAAGCGAAGGAATGATGTTTATAAACAACTTAAAAAGGCCAAATGAGTTCAAGAAAAACAAGAGTTACAAGGAAAAACAAAGAAAATCCTAAAGGCTACCTGGTAGACAACACTTCAGCAGCTTGGACAGCCTCAAAAGTAAAAGCAAGCAAGTTTTCCAGAGAAATAGAGATCTCGAAACCTCGAGCCCATCCTTTTCACCCTTCAGTTGCTTATTCTCCTCGAGCAGACCAACACGAACCCACTGCAGCTCATCCACTTCCTTCTTCAAACTACACCTTGAAGTTCCAACACTTGGGGTTCAAGCCTATTGGCAATTCTCTTGAAGTGGATCATTTGATTATAAGCAGCAATCAACTCTTCATCCTTTGCATAAGCAACGAAATAAAGCTCAAAAACTGCAAACTCAAGATCTTGAATCTGAGGTATATAACATCCAATCTTCTTCTCTGCGCTTTCATACTTGACTTGGATCATGTCAAGCCTAGTCTTCAAGACAACGATCTCTTGGCAAGCAATCTCAAGCTGCAGAGAAATGGGGGCAGAAATATTAGACCCTTTCGAAAAAACGAGCTTAGAGTCCAAACTCTTGATCTCCTCAGACGAAGAATAAGCTTCAGCTGCCATAGTCTTCAGCACCTCTTTGGCAGCCTTGCTATATATGCATCATAGCAAGTAGAGCAGTCCTTCTATATTGAGTCGTATGCTTCATAAAGGAACTTGGGCAAACAAACTTTTCTAACGCCATCAACAAACTTGGCACAAGCGTCCATGTCTTCAAGCAGATCTGGTTTTAAGAGCACACATATCTTAGCAGCCTCCCTAGAAGCAGGCTTAGTGGATTTTTCATAGCTGCCCACTCGAGCAGTCTCCTCATTCCTAGCAGGCAAATCAATCTTAGTAGCAGAGCGAGTGAGCCTTAACGCTACTTTAGCAGTAGAGTCCACCTTATGGTTCTTCATAATAGTAAGCCTTTCTGAATGAGAATCGGACTTAGCTCCCAACGGACATCTTGGCACAGACTTTGGCACTAGGGGCATGACAAGACTTCTACACTGAGCAATACTATCAACAATCGAATTAGCCATTCTCGACATAACAGGCACCACAGGCTCAGATCTAGCATTCTCATTTTTCTCCTCATTAGAAGAAGTCATATCAATCATAGGCCTTTCGACAGCAGGTGGACCCTCACAAGCAGTGGAGGAAGTCTTCGGTTTTTTCTTAATCAATATCTCTTGAGCAGACGAGAAAAATCTCTTCTTTCCACTTTCATTCACAATAAGCTCCACGATAGCAATCAGACGAGCCAAAGTATCTGCCTTGATCCTCTTTACCTTCCCTCTCGAGAGCAACCCACATTTATCTCGGTGAAGAGAACTAAGAGCAGCCAACGCTATTCATGATACTTAGCATGGGAACTCAACCCATACTAGATTTTTCCTCATTTTTTCTCTCAGACCAGAAGGCAGAAGACCTGCATGCCCAGCATTCCAACAACCTTTGAGGCCTTCGACTTTCTCATCTCTCTCAATCGTCGGCCTGGCCCCTGTCAGGTCCAAGAAGCCAGAAGACATGAGCCATGCGACTCGCCAAGCATTGCGCCCTAACGACTTAATTCGTAGCCCCAGCTGCCCTTGGCTCTAGCCAAGCCAAACAGCCCAAGCAGTGGTCCCTGCCACACCACCTCCTCAGCCCATGCCAAGTCGACTCCTGGCCCTTACCAGTCAACATGCCACACCACCCCGACGGCTGCCCCACGACAGCACTATCCAAGAAGAAGACAAAAAAAATTAATTTTTCTTACATCGGTGCGACACGAAGAAGACGAAGAAACCAACAAAAAACGATCCTTTGCATAGGCAAGATGTAGAAGATTGCTAGAGGAGGGGGAACAAATATCCTCTAAGCTCTCTCTCTCTTGTAGGGTAGAATAAATTGCTTTTCAAAGTTGATTTAATAACCCACTTAAGGTGGACTTAAATAGGCTTTGAGAGAAATTTATTTCCCTTTCCTAGAAGGATCTAATTTCCTATTAAAGAGGGAATCTATATCAAAATACGAAGCAATCTTAAGTTTCCTAAAGCAAGAAGATCTCTACACCTGCTGCCCTTTCCTGCGAGTAGCCCAACATGTGTGGGGGCATTTGTGGAGCCAAAAATAATTACAAGGCGACACGTGAATTTTTGGATGAAAGAGGACAAAAATACCTTTGAGGCATACTGGGATTCCTACACGCGAGCATCAGGCAATCATCCCTCAACCAAATCAAAAGTGCCCAAAGAAGGTAACAAATTCAAAATTATTTCATCCTTTGTCATTCCATATTCTCTACAAAGCAATCATTTCATAACCTTCAAAACATTCCATAAAAATTAGGTTAATTGGTTAATTAATGAATTTATTTCCTAATTAATCCATTAATCACCAGTTAAATCACCCATTATACCAATTAATCACCCATTACACAAATTATCACCTATTACACACCAAAAATGCCACAAAGGGTCGGCCGCCTTTTCTCGAAAGAGGGACCGGCCATGCTCTATATATTCTCTAAAAAGCTAGGTCTTCACTTTTGCTAAAATTCTCCAAAACTCTCAAACACTTTTCCCTCTAAATTCTAACTTTGGCATCGGAGGTTCTTTGGCCAAAGCCCCCCCCCCCCTTTCATTGTGGGCGCATGAGGCTCTTGGCCTTGACCTAAGGTGTTATTTGTTTTGTAGGTGCAATTTTGTCCAAGATTAAGGAAGAAGAAATTTGCATCCACAAAATTAAAGTACCAAAATTGTAGGGATAATGTTAAATCAAATTTACACAAGGAATAGATGTTTAGTCTATGACATTTAAAAACAAGACATCTAATTCAAAACGTCCAATCATTCCTTGTGTATCATACAGTAAAAAATTATTTTATTTATTTTATTTAAAATTAAATACAAATGGTATCTCAGTTGAACACAAAAAAAATTAATAAATTATCAAATGAAACTCATAGAATTAAGCACTCGATAGAAAATTTACAAAACCCATCACATGCACTCCAAGTTAATAATCCATCACAGCAGAAGAAAGAAAGAAATAAAGAATGATTGAAAAAAAAAAAGAAAAAAAAAAGAAAAGAAAAAACAGAGCATTCAATTTGAGGTGCATCAACCATATCAAGTTGCCCTGTTCCTCCCTCCCCCTCCTCCAAAAACAAATTGAACGTGTAAAATCAATGGCAAAATACACACGTCAGCATTACATCATAACTAACCAAGGTAACTTTTTAAACACTCTGGAACTCAACAAGTTACTATCGTAAATAGTACTAATGCCTCTGTTTTACCATCTTCATAATTTCAACAGCCTCCCTTAATCTCCTTTCTGTAGCTTCTCTAGCAACGGCAACTTCTCTAGCAACTGTAACTCCCGGCATTCCTGCATTAAGATTAAGATGGTACTAATTAGAGCTTAACGATCGTTTAATTTAAGTTTCCGAAGAAAAAACGAGAGATTCTTTGCTTAAATCTGACCTCTTGTCATTGTTGCCAGCCTTCCTACTAAGTTCCTTAACAAGATTGTGTAGCCTTTTCAAAAGAGCGGGCGATTTACGCACAGCTTCAACGCCTTTACGGCTAGCACAAACCTTCTTTAGAAGTTCTGAAGCGGTGAAATAACCCTCTTCCTTGTTCCTGAAGTTAGGGTAAGTTATTAGCCGTTAAACCATTATAACAAACGTTCAATTTGGCAAATCATATTTGAAAGTATATGGCTTACGAACCTTACAAACTCGCATACAACAGTTTCTACAGATCCCGGACTGTCAATTAGCACTTCTACCAGGTGTGGATACCGGGCAAGGTTCCTTAGAGTTGAGAGCACGTGTTTTTGAACCTCCTGATCGTGTATACTTCGGGTGGCTGAGGCAAAAATCTTCAGCAATGTTTTAATAGCTCCTTCCTCCACGAGTTTTTCACAACATTTCTGAGAATGTGCAGTGGCCTTGTCTGCAAGTAGGATTATAACGTAAGTACACCATGCTAGGATTACATTTCATGTAGGAATAATGGAAAGACATGAGTTTAAAATCATGAACAAACCATGGAAATGTTATCGAATCTATTCTGCAATGTAAAATTAGCATAATGCATGCGAACTTGGATCAAGAAATGTTGGAAATGGAGTGTATCATACAATCACCGACAACTTACCCAAAGTAACACAAGTGTGAAGAATGCTGCTGATACTTTTCATTGTTTGACTATCACCTCTCTGATCTCTCTCTCAATCTCTCGACTTCCATCACAGACAGTGGAGGAGGAGCATTTGTCTCTCGACGTCGACTGTGCACCGATTCTCTTCCCCCCAAATCAGGTAAATTTTGGAATTAATTTAGGGTTTGAAATTTAGTTTAGGGTTGGAATTCTAGATTAGGGTTTGTGAAATTTAATTTAGGGTTGGAATTCTAGATTAGGGTTTAGGGGTTGAAATTTAATTTAGGGCTTGAAATTTAGGGTTTGAAATATACCTTACTGGTTAAAATTTAGGGGTTGAAACTTATTTCACCGTCTGTTTTTCACACAAATGTTTCTCCATACAACAGGTGCATTCTGAATTGAGGAAATGGCTTCAAGCAAACGTCAGTTCTGAAGTTGCTGCATCAACCCGGATTATTTATGGAGGTATCTTTTTATACCTTTACCGCATCATTTTGTTGTTTATCTGCTTGTACATCCCATCCTTTTCTCAATTACAACTTTGAAGCACCTAAAATATATTTATGTTGACTAATGTGTATTCCCCCCACCCCACCCTGCCAAGAGGAATAATATCTATAGAATTAATATAAGAGTCAGCTGACTTTCTGAAAAGTTGTATAACTCTCCCAATAATGAAGCATTATGACATTTTGTATACATGTTTCTTGTACCCTTGAGTATGGCCTTTCAAGTCTCAAGTCTCAATTCCTGTACCCTAAACCCTAAGATTGGATGCTTACTAACACACAATTTACCTGGACTTTGGTGAAAAAGCGAAAATCGAAAGGGCTAGAGGATAGGAATGATCTGTTGTACGGATGGAGGCTATCATCTGCAAATCATTTTGAGTCATAAATATATTTGTTCTCTTGCGAAGAATTCATTATGTCTTGTGTTTGAATTAAGGAGTCCACTCAGTTTTCATGTCTTGTGTACTTATGGGAAAGATAAGGAGTCAACTTATCTTTCTCTGTTCGCTTTCACAACAATTGGCTGAATCGGATAATTTTTTATTGCATGCATGTGGAGTAGAAATTGAATAGGCAGATGCTAATGCTATTGTGCACAGATTTGTACACAGATTGGCAGATTGGTTATATGTCAAATTTTAGTCCAACAGATTGGCATATTGGCTATATGTCAAATTTTCAATATAAAAGGTTGAATTTTAACCCAAAAGCGTAATATGTCAAATTTTAGTCCAAAAGCCCAAAATCATTTCGAGATTCCCAATTTGTCCCGAAAACCCAAAAATTTGGTTTGGGATCGGTATTGAAATTGGGATTCCCAAAAATTTCCGTTTGGGAATCGGAACAAGGGTTTTGGTTCGGTATCCCATACCGAACCACCCCTACATTTCACACACTTAACTTTACTTCTCACACATCACTTGTTAATTTATGTCATTTGATTACTTCAATTGATCGACAGCCGGGAAATAATAGATATCTGTGAAAAGTAAAAAGGAATGTTTGGATATCACCATCCAAAATTATCTTTGTATGTATTTTTTATTTGTCAAAAGATTTTTACATTAGGATAATATCAGGTAACCAAATTTTTAAACCAAATTTACAAATGTGTTACCAATAAAAAATAAACATTTTGATTTGATTCTTGATTTTTCAAGTATTGAGTTACGAATCAACTAGCCCTTCAGATTCCATGCTTGTTAGTAAACACACAAAAAGTTAAGAACTAGGTGAAAGCTTGAGTTGGTTCTCCCCCATAAACCTAAGATAAGGGGAACCTCCTGATACTCGTTGGTATAAACTTAATGTTGATGGTTCAAGATAAGTGCAGGTGGAGTTCTCTGCCAATTTGGGACAAGGAGATTTTATTGACAGAGGTGTTTGCTATTATCCTCTTGATACTTGATACAATTGTGAACAGATGCAAAACATTGATGAGTCAATTGGTTAGATGTGAGTTGAGCTGAAGCATGAAGCATGTTATCATGGAGCAGAATTGTGTTGTTCATCAGTTGCCAAATTGGAGTTTTAATATGGATCTCAGCAGCTTTGTCTTCAATAACCCCCCATGCGGCCTACCTAGATCGGATCAACTCTCATAGATGATTTTCTTGGCGTTGCTAAGCTACGTTTTGCTTGTACGGATGATTTATGTTAGGTTCTTCAAATGTCTTCATTTGAATGGAACTGTAGGATTTATCTTATGGAATAAATAAATATCAAACGATATTCCACCCACATGAGGATATGAACCTCCTAATTATCTATGTGATAATTAGATGAAAATCAAGAGATATTCATACTAGAATATACTTGGGATTTTCATAGGCTTTTCAGTTTTTGTACACTCTTCCCAACCACTATATAATGAGGCTTTGGGGAAGAGAGAAAATATAAGAAACACAAGCTTTTCCACAGTTCAAATATTCTAGTGAGGTCTTTAGAGCTATCACTTTCGGCTCCAGGTATTGGGAGGTGAAAACAAAGAGGCAACTTGACATATCGTAGCCAACCCAACAACTTGTGAGGTTCTAGACATGTACGGAGGGTCAGAGCAGTTGTTCGTGTTTGTAGGAGCGTGTTGAGATTCAAGCTTCCGCATAAAAGGTACAGACGTCCTTTCGAATTTATTTATAGTCTTCCAATAGTGGTATCAGAGCCGCGCACACACTCGTCGCATGAAAGCATGAGATATATATGAATATGCCATGTATGAAAACCTTGAAAGCATGAGATATATATATATATATATATATATATATATATATATATATGAATATGCCATGAATGCTTGTCTTTAAAATTTTTGTTTTTGCCATGCTTATTTTTTATGGGTTTTAAAGTTTGGATTATGTTATTTACATTCATATGAGACTATATTTAAAATTTGGTAAAGATAAACCAAGTGGTTAGAGAGATAATTGAAACCCTAGTTTCGTAATAGCATGAAAAACAAATTTTTTCAAGGTTTTTGCGACCTTTTTTTGTGTGCAGTTAGAGTTGTTTTTGGAATTCGCCAAATAAGACTAATTGTAGATGGTAATCTGATCTTTCTAACAACATAAAATACATATAAAACGGCTGCATAATCGCTAAGTTATGGCCTCTGTAAATAGGCCTCGCGAGAGTGAAAAATCTGGAAATTCCAGGCTTTTTGGAAGAAGATGATGAATAGTGGTTCATCTCTTCCACTCTCGGCCTAAGCAAGTACGAGTACAACGCTAGGCTTTTGTGGATGTTAGCTACACCATTGGATTCATCTAAGGGAGTTCAATCCAACAGAGGTCAAAAGAATGGCATCGGACCACCAGAAGGTGCGCCTATGTGACACATGCCATCCATAGCAAGTGGGTTTGCGCAATATTAAATTAATTATTAGAAAAATAATTAATTAATTTTGCACCGCAGCTTTAGGCGGCGCGTGGGCCGTGTTTTTGGGACACGACTAGCGAATGAATCATTGTGGTTCATTGACCTACGTAAGTGTATATTTATGTTTGGTATTATAGACATTTTTAATTTACTAAAATTTAGGAAACGTTCTTAATTTACCTTTAAAAAATATTCTCAACACATGCCAAGATTTTAAGAAAATCAAAAAGAGATAATGTCGATCAAATTTGCTCATGTTGATTGAGCATTTTAAATTAGAAACGAATATTCTTTAGGAGAATATTTAAAAAAAAAAATTACATAATTAATAAAAAATAATGAAATTGGACTGAGGTTCACTAACGGTCACCTTTTATTTGATGTGGTGTCTATGAAAAATCTTTAAGGAGACACTTTAGGTGTCAAAGAGGTTCGGTTTTTAAAAGCTTCACGCTGCCACCCTTCACCGGGATTTGACCTGGCCACACTTACGGAGGCCTACATGTCTAGCCCATTGTCTAAAAACCCTAATCGTTGTGCACTCAATTGGATGTTGCATGAAAAATGGATAAGCTTAAAACATAATGATGTTTAAATAAGATTTATTTCGAAAATAATTAGAAAATATGATCTTGACTCTTAGAATTGAATGGTAATTACGAGCGACTTAGCGGATTTTTCAATTTCAACCTAGGAAAAAAAAGTGAAATATTTTCTAATGAGTTTTTGAAATAAATAAATGTAGGATGTGTAATTAATAATGTCAAAATTATTTCACCCTTGTAGAAAGAAATGGCTACCAAAAATGTTGTTGCTGATTTGGCCAAAGGAGAAAAGCTGGTTGGAACCAACTATGATATTTGGCATAGGAAGATCCAATATCTTCTCAATGGAGCCTTTGGAGGCTTCGATGGATGAGCCTAATCTTGAGAGAGATGGAACCACTACGGCTCAGCATACGGCTAGAGTAAGGTTTTATGAATCTTGGTTTAAGAAAGATCGAAGTGCGCAATTTACTATGTTAAGTAGCATGCATAATGATCTTATTGGTGAGTATGAAGGCTACTCAACCGCCAAGGAGATATGGGACCAGCTGAAATTTTCTTTTGGTGGAACCTCAACTACTAGGTTAAGAAATCTAGTGTTAAAGTTTGAGGTTTATAGGATGGATCCTAAGCACTCTGTATCTGAACATCTTAGGAAGATGTCAAGCATGATATGAGATTTGAAAGTTGCTAGAAGTATCCTCATTGATGAACATTAAGTCCAAGCTGTGATTAGGTCCCTCCTAGACTTGTGGGATGCCCTTAAACAGATCATGACACACAATGATTAGATTAAGAACTTTCATGACATCTGGCGTCATGTTGAACTAGAAGGTGAGCGCTAAGTGACGACCCAGGGTACTGCCTCTTTGACTCAAAGTGGGTCCAAAAAGGGTAACCAATTCAAAGGAAAGGTAATCCCTAACCCTAATCTATCATTGTTTTTGTATGTTCGCATATACATGTTGCTCACACGTCCGACAATTGGATTGTAGACATAGGAACAACCAAGCATGTGACGCGAGATAAAAAGGGGTTCGAAAATTATCAATGTTTTCCAGCAAAGTCACACTGGGTGTACATGGGTAAAGGAAGTCGTACAAAAG